CAGCTCTGGCGGTACCATTACATAAAAAAGGTAATAAAAATTTGGCAACCAATTACAGACCAATTGCACTAACGCCAATATGTTGCAAAATAATGGTATCAATTATAGCTGATCATATTAAAAATTATTTTTTAAGCATCCATCTATTTACAGACAGACAATATGGGTTCCTCCCGTTTCGTTCAATCACATTATAGCTTTTGAAATTCGTTGATGAGGTAACGGCGTCATTGGAAGCAGGTATGAGTACAGATATTGTTTATACAGATTTGGAGAAAGCTTTTTATAGAATGTCCAATTCTAGGCTGTTGTTCAAATTAAAAAATTATAAAGTTCAGAACAAGATAATAAAATGGATAGAAAGCTATCTTAGGGTTAGAATAAATGACCAACTTTCAAGTGCTAAACCTGTTGTTAGTGGTGTTCCCCAAGGAGGAGTACTCAGTCCACTTTTATTTGTGATTTACGTCAACGACATTCACTCAATTAACAACAATATCTTTTTATATGCAGATGATGCAAAGATATTTGGTTCAATATCTGTTCCACAGGATGAGGCGGTGTTGCAAGGTTGTTTGGATAATGTAATGATGTGGTACCACAGATGGAGTTTGAAGGTTAACGTCAGTAAATGGCAGATAGGCAGATGTTTGTCAAGGGAATATTTTATCACTGATTCAGATGATGTAGCTCAGGCCTTGCCAAGGGTGAAGAGTATATCTGACTTTGGTGTGGTAATGGATGATCGTCTCCAATTCAAAGAGCATGTTTTGAGTCAAATAAAAAAAATCTAACTCCATGTTAGGAATACTATCAAGAAATTTTAGTTGCCTGTCTGACGAAGCTTTAATCTGTGTCTACAAGTCGTTGGCTCGCTCACGACTGGAATTTGCTGTTCAAGTTTGGTGTCCATATAGAAAAGGTCTAATAAATGAATTGGAAAAAGTTCAGAGAAGAGCTACCAAAATTCCAAAGTCCTGTAAAAATCTGGAATACTGTTTGAGGTTGGTGAAATTAAACCTCCCTTCCCTTAATTACCGCAGAATCAGAGGAGATTTAATCCTGGTCTATAGAATGCTTCACGGCATGGTGGACCCTGCGATTTGCCCTCAGTTGTGCGGTAGGGCTGATGTCAACACCAGGGGTCATCAGCTCAGATTGTGTACTCGACTGGCCAGAAAAGATTGCAGGAAATATTTTTTCTCGAATCGAGTTGTTAGCCCATGGAATGCATAATATTGTTAATGCTCCGTCATTGGCTATTTTTAAAACTAAACTAGACTTATTTTATGGTGACGCAAAATATTCTATATTTTAATTTTAGTTTGTCTTGTGCCTGATGTTTATTATAAATTATTTGCAAATGTACGTACCTGTAATAATCAATTTTCGGAATTTGCATTTTTTTTCAAACATTGATAATTGTCTTAAACATTGACTCTTTAATTTTTATTGGAATTTGTTCTGATTTATTTTTGTTATGTTATTTGAGTTTTTGGCAAGGGGCTTTGCCCAAGCCTTTTTTCTTCGTCTTTCTTTCTTATAATATAATAATAAAATATAATATGTTTTTTTTAAATTCTAAAAAGATAATACCAATTTAAAAAACTGACAAAGATCAATCAATTTCGTTTCGTCTTTGATGATGCTACTCTCTAGGATGCGTTGTCGATTTCTGTGGGCAGTACTGTATTAATTGTCTGTGTCCACATAGAGCTGAGGGTATTTTTCATGCTTCGATATGGTGGAGGCTGTTAGTATGGCACGGATGGCTCGGGTTGTGGCATTGCAGGAAAAATTGTGAGGAAAGTAGTTCAGAATGCTGTCTCACGGTTAGCATTTGACATTTTGATTGAAAATGCTTCTCTGACTGATTTTATGACAACCTGTGATCAGGCGAAGGGCAGCATTCTAAGACCGTTGGAGGCGGTTGAAGCCAGTGTCAGATTTCAGCGGAGACCAAGCTGGGCAGGCATATTCGATTGTGCTGCGACCGATGGCTTTGTAGGTCTGCAGCAAAGTTTCCTTATCCTGACCGTAGGTGGTTCCACTGAGAGCTTTTAAAATATTATTTCTTTTGGAGGCCTTCGATGCTGTCAATTTGCGGTGTTGGGAGAAAGACAGCATCGTGTCAAGTGTCAGGCCCAATATTTTTGGATTGTGTTCTAGTGTTAGAAATTGGTTGTTGATTTTGATTCGTGGGTGGTAATGGTATTGTGATGTGTGTGATGTGAATAGAGTAACTGTAGACTTAGATGTAGAGATAACTAAGTTTCTTCTATTGAAGTAGTCATATAGTTTCGGCAGATAACAATTGAGCCGGTGGGTCAAAATATCTGCATCCGGACCTGTAGTGTAGATGGTGAAGTCGTCTGCGTATGAAACAATTTTGATGTCTTGTGGTGGTTCTGGGGCTTGGGAGATGTAGTAGTTGAACAAAGTTGGCGACAGTACTGAACCTTGGGGCACTCCTGATCGGATTATACGTTGCTTGGAGTGCTGATGTCGAAACTCTGTTGTGGCGGTGCGTCCGTGCAGATAGTTTGACAACCATCGGACTATTGACCGTGGAAGCGATGATGACAGAAGGTCGGATAACAACGTTTGTTGATTGACCGTGTTGAAGGCCTTTGTTAGATCCAGCGCTGTTAGTACTGATCGATGCGCTGGTTTTTTTTGATTGAGGCCGTTGGCGATATCGGTAAGTGCTGATGTTGTAGCGTGGTTTGCTTGGAAATCATGTTGGTGGTTTGCTAGTGTTAGGTGTTATACTATGAGCGGCAGCTGGCATTTTTCAAAAACCTTCACTTCTAGACATAATAATGATATAGGACGGTAGTACTTTGCATCACTATCTGGTTTGCTGGGTTTGAGGAGAGGAATTATTTTTGCCTTCTTGTATATATCTGGGATTCAGCAGGTTTGCAGAGAATCATTAAACAGCTTGGTTAGGAGGGAGATTCCTGTAGGGCTTAAGTGTTTTAGGTGAAGCATAATCAGGTTATCTGGTCCGGAGGCTTTTGACGGTTTTGAGTCTTTTATAGCCTTTAAAACCTGATCGTGTGTGATGGTAGAATGATCATCAAGGGTTAACTTCTTGATGGTTTTAGTGGTGATTCTATTTAATTTGTTTGAAGTGTGTCGATAAACTGTTTGTTGAATAGGTTCTCCATTTGCAGATTGTTTGGTGTTGACCTGTTGTTGAAAATGATGGTGTTGCTGGGATATTGAGATGGTTTGCCACTTAGAGTTTTTATGGTACTCCAAAGGCGATGGGTGTTAATATTTCTATTGAATGTGCCCAGGAAATCCTCCCTTTTAGTTTGTTGATTTTGTTTTGTATATCTGTTGATAGAATGACTATGTCCCTTGCTGACGGTTTTGAGGATCTGAGAGCGTCCCGTTGCTTCATGAGCCCTAAGATTTCACTCGGAAGACCTGGTGATGATGTTATTCGTCTTTCTGAGGGAATGTTGTGTTTGCTTGCGGTCCATAGAATATGACGGAACAACTTCTCAGCTGCTGATGGGTCGGACGGGAAGGCTGTTTTGGAAAACACGGCTTCGGTTTCATTGGTGAAACCAACCCAGTTAGCTTTTGCAAAGTTCATTATTTTATTTATTTTTGGGGTTTTAGTTGGTGAAAATGTTGTTTGCAGTGTGATGTGGATCGGGAGGTGATCTGATGAGAGAGCTGTCACTGTAGACCAATCCATTCTGATGATCAGGGTGTTTGATGTGACGGAGATATCTGGTGATAAGGTTGACCGGTTGTAGGCAAACGGGTTGGAGTATCCGTGTTGAATGTGCGAAATTCTGAGTTTTCAATTTTCCAGGCCATGCTTCTTCTCGTGAATCTTCCAGGTCTGAGTACCAGAGCGCATCATGTGCATTCATATCACCCAACACAGCCACGTTTGGTATATCTAGAAATGTTGATATTGAAGCTGTGAAACCAGTGGGACAGACGGATTGTGGAGGGATGTAGATGTTAACGATGTTGATATCTTCCCCATTGACCCTGATCGTGATGGCTTGACTCTCTGTTGTTGTTAGGTCAGGAGTAGATCTGATAGTGTAGGAGATGCTGTTATGGATAAGCATGATTAACCCACTACCTCGTCCGTATGTACGATCTTTACGGTACAACGCATAGTCTCTGAAGGTAGGATCTTTAGAGCTTTTGGTTAGCTTTGTTTCTTGGATGGCTGCGATGTGAATGTGGTGACCTATAAGATGTTGATTGATTTCATCATGTTTGTTTCTGATGCCGTTGCAGTTCAATTGAAGGATGTTGATCTGTCCGGCATGATGAATAGGTTTGTTGGTTGAGTTAGAACCGTTAGTTGATTTAGATGACCTTTGAGGAGTCATATCAGGCACCCTTGGGCCACTCATGTCTGTGGACAGGTGCAAGCAGTTATCGCAGTAATAACCGTTGATGTTTGTGATGCATTTAAATCCAGATTTTTGGACCTGGGTATGTCTCGATTTCGGCTTTTAGTAGGAGGAGGCGAAGCAGCTCGGCCGGGAGGGACTGCTTCGTTGACAAAAACCCGCTTTGATATCCAAATTGGGAGGAGGAGTTGCAACCGTTTGTTGGAGGCTGTTGGTGTTGATGCCAGCAGTTGATCCAATCGGCTCTACCGTGGGAAGGTCGTTGCTCCAGAGCCAAAGTTTTAGTGTTATAGTTAGCGTTATATAAATGTTTCTATGATAATAATAGTCTAAAGGAGGTTTTAAAAAATAAAATTTGGTAGAAGCTTTTATAGATCTTATATAAAAAAAATTAATAAAGTACAGCTTTAGTATAATACACATTAAGTTTACGTAAAGAGACGTAATGGGAAGTTTCAGTCAATAGGCAGGTTTGATTTTTTAGCAAAACTACAGCTGTTTTTCAACGTTACCAAACATTTTTGTTAGAGTTAATATTTAGCCGACTGACGTTTTGCGAAAAAATATTTTGAAAAATCAATTGATCTACATATTTTTTTAAAGTGATCTTGATACATTGGACAAGACAAATTAAAGAACTTTTGAGCAGTCAAGATGCTTTACAACTTTCCGAAGGATCTGGACCTCTTGAAGAGATCCAGTTTTGGAGCAATAGATGTGACGATTTATCAGGCATAACTCTTCAACTTGATAAACCAGGAGTTAAAAAAGTTACTGCTTTATTGCAAATTTTCAAATTTGCATTCTTAAACATAAAAATTTTTATTACGTTATTATCATTATTTTTATTTTTAACGCATCGAAATTAAAGTTTATTAAGAGATATTTTGTGATTCATCAAGTTTCTTGACAGCAAAACTCAAGTATTCAAAACGCTTTAAAACATTTGTTCGAAATTATAATTTTAAACATGTACAAAAAAATATGTTTTATCTCATGATATAATTTGATAAATTTTTAAGAGAAATGATTGAAATTAGTTTTATTTATTCGTTAGCATCTAAATGATTTGTTGGTTTCTTCTGGACTTTGAATTCAAATGATGTGAATTTGAATTTATGATATAAAATTGTAATAGCTGTAGAGAGTTGATGATGCAGATTAAAACTCGTCGTTTTCAAAATGTTCTTGTGACCTGTAACGTTTTGACTTGTGTTGCAAAACTTTTGGAATTTAATCAAACGAACACCCTACCGCCTGAAACATTTTTTTGAGCAGCTGGAACTTGCCAGTAGTTTATATTATGCGGAAAGGTTTGACTAGATCAATCAATCTTTGTTTAGCTTCCAGAGATCCAGTTTCCCGAGGTAGGACGTTGTTTTCTTTGCCATCAACTTTTTGCGCCAAATTAGACGATCAGTTGAAACTATTTCATTTAAATTTAGAGCCTTCATGTCTTGCTCGATTGTTTGCGACCAGGACTTCTTTGGACGGCCTTTGGGACGTGTACCAGATACTTCAACATCTGCAAGAGAAGTTATGGCACTGTTTCCACTTTGTTTGACATGATCAAACCACCTCAGACGGTGTTGCCGGCATTCGTCTTTTATATCATCTAAACCAGCACGACGAAGGGTTTCGGTAGATTTGATGTGGTTCTTCAGACTAATTCGTTGCATCCATCGAAGCATTTTCCTGTCGGTTCGTATGCGTGCTCGAACGGCAGCTTCAGCTGTTCCAGTACAATCTAGAACATCTCCTAGATATTGAAACGATGTGACTTTCTCTACCTTAATGGCTTCAAAAACATTGCTATTTCGAATTTGATGTTGTGGATTGATGCAAGTAGGACAAACAAAATTGTACATTTAGATAAAGTACCAATTATTTTTGAACAACGTTTGTGATACCACTGGTTGCACTGCTGACACTTGATTGAATTGTTACCTACACCAGCTTTGCAAACTGAACAAGGCCATCGTCCAGTAGCTGTGGATTGGATGGGTTCACCAGTGTTCATTGCAATGATAAACTATATGATAAAAATTTCAGTTTATTAGTTTCTAAAGTATTTTATCGATTTTCAATCAATCAATCAATCAATCAATTAGCTTATAAAGCGCTATTTCCGCGATGTTCAACAGCGCTCCTCTATGGATTTTGAAAACAGATGGGTCTTGAGATCCGCTCTGAATTTCGCAAGTGATGGAGAAGTAGTCAGAGAAGTAGGTAGAGAGTTTCAGAGAAAAGGACCAGAAAAAGCAAAAGCTGATTTTGCAAAAGAGTGTTTAACACGAGTTAAGAAAAAGGGAGAAAAAGAAGACGATCGAAAACCGGGGCGTTTAGGTTCAATTAATATATCTTATAAATACTTAGGAAATAATTTAGATTGAGACATATACATGAACGTGCAAATTTTAAAAATTATTCTTTATTTTATAGGTAGCCAGTGCAAGATAATAAGATATGGAGATATATGAGAAAAGAAAGGGGCACGAGCAACTAAACGAGCAGCAGAGTTAAAAGCTTTACTTAAAGGATAGAGTATGGAGTCAGGAAGACCATAGTAGAGCGAGTTACAATAATCAATCCTAGTTAAGACTAACGAAGTAACAAGAAGGAGAAGAGTAGGATCATCAAGAAAAGGCAAAAATTTTTTTATTCTACGTAGATGAAAGTAAGAGCTTCTAGCAACACTATTAATCTGAGAAGAGAGAGACATAGTAGAATCAAAGATAAAACCCAGACTACGAAACTTATGAGAGACATCAAGAGTTTTAGAATCAGGTAAGATAATAGGAGGAATAGTAATAGAGTGTTTAGATTTATTAAAACAAATTAATTCAAACTTAGAAAGATTAAGTTTAAGACACATAGAGTCAGACCAAGCGATAATTGAAGAAAGACATAGAGATAAATTATGAAGAACACTATTGAGATTAGATAGAGGAAAAGAAGTATAAATGTAAGAATTATCAGCATATAGTTGACTAGAGAAAGAAAAGTTTTTAATAATACGAGGTAGTTCAGAAGTATAGATTATAAATAGAGGAGGGCCAAGGATAGAACCCTGAGGTACTCCGAAAGTAAGAGTAGAGGAGTTAGAAGTGGAATTATTGAGAACAACAGAAAAAAACGATTACAGAGATAAGAAGAAAACCAAGATAGAAAAGAATCATTAATATTAAAAGAAAGATGCAGCAGTCTCAAGAGAATAGTATGGTCAACAGTATCAAAAGCCGAGGAAAAGTCAAGAGCAAGAAGAAGAGTAAGATTACTATTGTCACCAGAGAGAAGGATATCATTGTGTATTTTGAGTAAAGAAGTTTCAGTACTGTGAGCAGGTCTGAAACCAGATTGAGATTGTTGCGGTTGCGTTTGATGATGAGAACACCGAACCAGAAGAGCATTGAGCGGGAGAAGAAAAGAATAGTATTCGTTTGGATAGGCCGGACACGTGTTTCGTCCCTACCGGGGACTCATCAGCAGCCCGAATACCTATCAGAATAGTTATCGCAGTTTCTTATAAAGCCCGCACAAATCAACTCCTTATTTCGTGGTGTTTTATTTATTAGTCTTTTTAATCGCTAGGATTTTCAATCCGACAATACTTTCCCACCCGATCGTCGCAGCGTGTGTTGGCGAACGTGATGGATGGGGTTGCATTGCCGGTTGTTGTTATATCGAAGAAAGATCTGCGTTGGAGTGGAAACTCGTTGCTTGTTTTTCCTCGATCACGTCGGGGTCACCAATTTGTTGCGGTTACGTTTGATGATGAGAACACCGAACCAGAAGAGCAGTGAGCGGGAGAAGAAAAGAATAGTATTCGTTTGGATAGGCTGGACACTTGTTTCGTCCCTACCGGGGACTCACCAGCAGCCCGAATACCTATCAGAATAGTTATCGCAGTTTTTTATAAAGCCCGCACAAATCAACTCCTTATTTCGTGGTGTTTTATTTATTAGTCTTTTTAATCTCGCTAGGATTTTCAATCCGACAAGATACAGGTAGCAAGGAGTTAAAGTTTAAATAGGATGACAGTTGATTAAAAACTACTTTTTCTATTATTTTAGAGATGAAAGTAATATTAGTTACAGGTCTATAATTAGATAAAGAGGTAGGATCTAAGGATGAGTTTTTAAGAATAGGAATAATAATAAAATTCTTATAAGAAGTAAGAAATTTAGAGGTGGAAAGAGATAAATTAACTAAATTGAGAATGATTGGATAAAATATTGAAGAAAATTCTTTAAGTAAATTAGAAGGAAGTAGATCTAGAGAACAGGTTGTAGACTACATAGAATTAATAATTTTAGTTAGTTCTAAAAGATTTACTGGAGTAAATACAGAAAAAAGATTCAGTAGTAAGTTTAGTAAAGTTATGAGAAAAAAAATTAGAATTAGATGTTCTTAAAGAAGTAATTTTATTTACAAAAATGTAATGAAACTGTTGAGCAGAAAAAGATGGGTGAGAGGATTTTTTATGTAGAAGTTTAGATAGAACAGACCACCTATTTTTAGATGTTGAAGAAGATGTTATAGAATTTCTAAGAAAAGTAGAGTGTTTAGAGAATAGTAGATATTTATAATTAATCAATTCAGATTCATAGATAGAATAAAGAGAGTTAGATGAATTTAACCTATAGGCTTTCTCCAGTCTTCTAACACTTTTCTTGGCTACTACACAAGCTTAATCAAACCAAGGAGCCTTACGAGAATAGAGCCTATAAGTAAAAGATTTAAGAGGAATAAGCTTATCAAGAAAAGAAGTAATGTAGATATTAAAAGCATAGACAAAATCATCAACATCAGAAAATAAGGTAGTATCAAAAATAGTTTCAGTAAGAGATTGAAGAAAAATATTTTTATTAAGAGAAGACCAGCATCTTTTAGAAATAGACATAGATGAATTTGAAGGAAGAAAATCTAATGAAAAAACAGATTCAATAAGAAGGTGATCAGAATAAGGAACAGAGCTAGCAGAGATATTAATAGGCTTAGAAAAAGATGAAGCTATAATAAAATCAATAGTGTTACCAGAAGTATGGGAAGGAAAAGAACAATATTGAGTTAAGTTAAAAAGAGACAAAATATCATTAAATCTACGAGTGTAAGAACATGATAAATTATTGAAGTGCAAGTTGAAATCACCAGAGATGTAGAAAGGAATAGAACATAAAACATAAATCATTTTTAGATGCCGTACAGATGCTAGACTGTAACATTTCTTGTGAACTGACAAAGAATGTTTTATTTTAGTTTGTTAGTGGATAAGCCAAACGATATTTTGTTTTAGGACATTATTTTGAAAGACGTTTCCTTAATAATATAAGTAATATATAACTATTGGAAGTAACTAATGATATTAATAACTGGAAAAAACTAAAAAAACATCTAACCATAAACGGCATGGATCACTCTATACCTGATATAGAAAGACTATATCTCCCTAGGAAGGAAGGTGGTAGAGGATTTGAAATAAAGGCTGCCTTTAAATTAGCAATCCTCCTATTAGGTTAATATTTAAAATCAAACTAAGATAAATACATGAAATTAGTCGAGCAACACGAAAACACCAAAAAAATGTATTCCATTACTAAGATGTACATGGTACAATTTAAACCAAAAATTTAAATTTAATGACAATGAGGAGATTAGAAATAAATTGGCTATAAAAAAAACTTTAAAAGTATAACTTAAGTATCTAACTTAGTTTAAACGGTAACGATGAACTCAAATATCTAAGAAGCTAACCTTGACATAATGAAAGTTAAAACCATGATGCAAAACACGTCTCTAGACAAGCATTTATTTATCTATTTCAATCTTCTATTTTAACTCATGTTCAAAATAACCTATATATTTTACTGAGTGAACCGGCATCTATTCATTGCCAATCACGACAATCAACACAGAGCCAATCGATATCAGCATATGACAAGAACCAAACAAGATTAATTCGGTTTTGTCAGCCTTAGTTTCAGCCTGTTTGACGATAGCCAGGCACCAACAGTAAAAGGCACGTTGGATTTCTTGTTGATAATTATTCATCTTTTGCTGACTTTATATTCATACAAATACTAAACCTGATGATCCTTCCTAGTTGATGAAAGCAGTCTATAAGCAGACTGACAGAGCTGGAGCAGATTATAAATGGCAAAGTGGGCTTATTAATATTACAGCAGCTGGAATATGTACAAGTTGTTGTATATCACTCAAAAGTTTGTTAGGTTGTTGTACATTCATTTGTATACAGCTTGCATTTTGCTATTGATTCATCTGCTCCAGATCCCCACTGATAGGTTCCATCAAAAGACATTTTTTTTATTTTCAATATAGGAAATTTGCCCAACCACAATATGAGCTCGAAAAATTAGCCGTAACATGTCCAATAACATCAATATAGCAAGAACCGGAGAACCAAAGGTTACATGGTGAGATTCTAGAAAGTTGTTAGTCACTTTGGGATCAAGGTCTTACCATCCTTGTGAGTTGAACGGTTAATCTGTTGAACCATTCAACTGAATGAGCTGTCGCCAAACTGGTCCAAAGAGTGACTAGTAACATGGGTAATATAGGGTAATGCACCTGCTTACTTGATCAATCGTTTGTTCATCATTGAAAAAAAAATTCGTTAGATTATTATAAAAACTTCAGTACAGAGATCACGCTATTCACCTATTTCCAGTAGTCAAGTTTATGGCGTTAAAACAACTCTACGCGTTGTACACTTCCATTTTTGTTTTCAAATTTTTACACAACCAATTAACTCAAAGAAACACGTCACTTGAAGACATTATATATCTTCCCGCACAGACCATTTTCGTTTCAAACAAGTTTGCTCTTCGTTTGTCCTAAACTCTGTGACAATCCAATATTATTTATTTTTTCAAATATAAAAAACATTTCTAACATCATTTTATTTATTTATTATATATATATATATATAAATATATATACATTATTATATATATATACATATATATATATATACATGTAAATGTATATATATATAGGGTTTAGACTATCATAAATACAATTATTTATAAAGACCACTGCGTTTTCGGCATTATTCAACATGAGAAACTCAACATTTTTGGCATTATTCAACTTGAGAAAGTCAACTACAAATTGATTTTCTCAAGAAACTATTTCAAGAAATAATGGTATATATATATATATATATATATATATATATATATATATATATGTATGTGTGTATATATATATATATGTATATATATATATATATATTTATATATGTGTTAGTAATAGACCATAATTTTTACAATATTCTATAAATTCTACCGAATGTTTGGCGTTAACATGTTTGTAGTTCGTTTTTTCGATTTTTCTCACTAAAGTTTTTTGGTGAACGTTTAGTTTATTAAAATTTGAAATAAACTTATTTTCCGAATTCATGCTGCAAATAAGGCCATATTTCGACTTCGAATGAATCATCATCAGTGCGGTTGATGTTTATATAGGGAAATATTGTCAAAATGAACTTAGATGGAAATTAGGTGTCAGGTTTCTTTATTGGCTGGTCATCTACTTTGGTCTCCTTTTTTCCATCGATAGCATCAATTGTTCTTTGTCACTATTTTTTCTCCTTTTTTCCATCGATAGCATCAATTGTTCTTTGTCACTATTTACAATGCTAGTTTTTATTACTTTTTTGAATCAATGACAACAAAGGAAAAAAAGAAGTAATAAAAACTATGTCACCACTGGACTTTGTATAAAGATGTCGGTTACTTATTTATCAAAAATACTTTAATTGTTTTAAGTTTTCTTTTGTAGTGACACGATGGCTTATACAAGTATTATTCTTTTTTGTTTTCCGCAGACCACTTAATTGCTATTTTGTTGCAATAGTTTTGTTCTAAATAAATAACGAAATAAATAAATATTAACTAAACCAAACCAAATAAGCTGAGGGTGTGACAAAACCTAATGGCCTAGACATTATAATGATCGATCATGAGGTACGTTGAAATAATCTACTATTAGAAGGCTAATTTGCATACAATTTCTTTTCTACATCTGACAGAAATCGCCCAGAGTCACTTGGAATTTAATGAAAACACGTAAAAGTGTTATATTTAACGAAGTCGAAGATTGTAAAATTCCTCTGTTTCTAAATTTAGAAACAAAGCAATCATTGATAATGAAAACACGCTTAACTGTTATATTTAACGAAGTCAAAGATTGTAAAACTAAGTGTTCACTTTAAACAAACAAGGAATCAACAAAGTAGAGTAGAGGCACAGTATATATATATATATTTGAGCATCTGTGCACAAACACAAAAAATCAATTTGAACACCGAAGATAATATAGGAATACAGAAAAAAAGCTTTTTGTTCTAAAATAAAACAAAAATTTTAATTTTGAACTAAAGAAACTTGAAAATGAATTAGGATCAACCGATGGAAAAATCGAAAAGTTAAATTGGAAGTTAACTAACGCCGAACATGCTGCTATTTTTATCAATAATTGCATTTTTGACAGTCTTAATCCAATATCAATCAATCACTCAATCAATCAATCAATCAATCAATCAATCAATCATCGTTTAGCGTCCAGAGACCCAGTTCCCTCGAGGTAGGACGCTGTTTTCTTTGCCATCAATTTTCGGAGCATTTTCATGTCGGTTCGTTGAAGCTGCTGTCCCAGTTTGGTTGTCATTGGCAACGTTTCTGCACCATATAACAACACCGAACGTATCACATATTTATAAAGTCTTGACCGCAGTGGTAGTGGGATGTCACGCCGCATCAATGTAGAGGCAAGGAGATGCCATTTATTCCAGGCTGCACGTAAGCGTGCTCAAACGGCAGCTTCAGCTGTTCCAGTACGAACGAAAAACGAACGAAAATACCTTATTTGAACCAACTGAAAGAAAAATTTAAAAGAAAATAAATCCATCAGACAGCTGATTCCGGAGACCACATAAGATAAAATAATCTTGTGAAGGCCACCGTGATCACTGAACAGTTAAATACAATTTATATACTTTTATTAATTAAACATAAATGAAAGATAAATGTAAATTTGATGGATTACATACATAAACCAATGTAACAAGCCCACGAAAACAAAATAATATCTAATACTATTTGTAATTAGTTAAACAACAGAAAAGAAATTAAATGCAAGTTTGATAGATAAATGTTACAATGTTACATTTATTATTATTACAAGGTCCATTTATTAAAATAATAGTCCTCATGGTGGATCATATTTTATCAAAAATTTCTTCAAAAACTTTTTAAATGACTTCAAATTAGATATAATTTTAATGTCCTCTGGCAGAATTCCATCCCATATACTTGGACCAATTACAAATATACTATGTTGGTAAATATTTAACCTATTTGGGTATATGTAAAAAATATTATTTTGCCTAGTCGATAAAGAATGAATGTTAGATCTTAGATGAAAACATTTAACAAAATAATTAGGTAATAAGTTGTTAATCAATTTAAACATAAAGATCGATGAATAATAAATGTTCAATTGTTTAAAGTACAATCCAGAATATCCCCTAGAATCCCTTAAATATTGAAATCAATCATCGTTTAGCGTCCAGAGACCCAGTTCCCTCGAGGTAGGACGTTGTTTTCTTTGCCATCAATTTTCGGAGCATTTTCATGTCGGTTCGTTGAAGCTGCTGTCCCAGTTTGGTTGTCATTGGCAACGTTTCTGCACCATATAACAAAACTGGACGTATCACATATTTATAAAGTCTTATCGTATTGGTAGTTGGAT